CCTTAGTCCTGCTTGGCTCCTCCTGCTCTGGGCCCCTCCTGTCTCCTCCCTCTTTCGTCACCTCCCTGGTCTCTGTCTGCCGGCCCCCTCCCGGGTGTCCGTCCTCCTCCGGAACCTCATCCCATGTTGGGATTTGAACTGATTAATTATAAAAGATGTTTAGTCTGATTCAGAAATTAATTTAAATTCCCAAACCCTCTGTTTAAATCCCTTTAAAGAAAATGCTGTAAAACGTGTCTAATGCCTTTAGGAAATAAATAAAAGCCTGTAAAATCACTCATTCATTGTGTTGGTAAATTGTATTATATACAGTGGGTACGGAAAGTATTCAGACCCCCTTAAATTTTTCACTCTTTGTTATATTGCAGCCATTCGCTAAAATTATTTAAGTTAATTTTGTTTCCTCAATGTACACACAGCACCCCATATTGACAGAAAAACACAGAATTGTTGACATTTTTGCAGATTTATTAAAAAAGAAAAACTGAAATATCACATGGTCCTAAGTATTCAGACCCTTTGCTGTGACACTCATATATTTAACTCAGGTGCTGTCCATTTCTTCTGAGCATCCTTGAGATGGTTCTACACCTTAATTTGAGTCCAGCTGTGTTTGATTATACTGATTGGACTTGATAAGGAAAGCCACACACCTGTCTATATAAGACATTACCGCTCACAGTGCATGTCAGAGCAAATGAGAATCATAAGGTCAAAGGAACTGCCTGAAGAGCTCAGAAACAGAATTGTGGCAAGGCACAGATCTGGCCAAGGTTACAAAAAAAAATTCTGCTGCACTTAAGGTTCCCAAGAGCACAGTGGCCTCCATTCCTTAAATGGAAGACGTTTGGGACGACCAGAACCCTTCCTAGAGCTGGCCGTCCGGCCAAACTGAGCTATCGGGGGAGAAGAGCCTTGGTGAGAGAGGTAAAGAAGAACCCAAAGATCACTGTGGCTGAGCGCCAGAGATGCAGGCGGGAGATGGGAGAAAGTTGTAGAAAGTCAACCATCAGTCGCCATGGCTGGAGAATCCCTCACCTCCGCCTCCAGCCTCCTCGGCCCGGACTCCACCTCGGCCCGGACTCCACCTCGGCCCGTAGACCCAGCGGCTCCACCTTGGCTCCTAGCTCCCTCACCTCCACCGTCACCCGTCAATCCACCAGCTCCACCGGGCTCCCTCGTCCCTCTGGCTCCGCCTTGGTCGGGTGTCGACCCACCATCGCCTCAGGACTCCGCTCCTCCGGCTGCACCTCGTTGCTCCGTCCCACCGGCTCTATTGGGCTCCTTCCTCCCGCCAGCTCCACCTTTGTCCTCAGATCTCCGCCTCCGCCTTGGTCGCCAGAGCCCTCGGCTCCACCCTGGCCCCCCAGATCCTCGGCATCCCCCTGGCTCATTGGCTCTTCGTCTCCGCCTCGGGCTTCTCCACCACCTGCTCCGCCGCCGTTGGTCGGCCCCCTGGAGTCGGCGGCCATTCCTCCTCCATGGCTCCTCCCTCTGTCGGCTCCACCGTGGGTCAACATTATGGCTGTGGCCTTAGTCCTGCTTGGCTCCTCCTGCTCTGGGCCCCTCCTGTCTCCTCCCTCTTTCGTCACCTCCCTGGTCTCTGTCTGCCGGCCCCCTCCCGGGTGTCCGTCCTCCTCCGGAACCTCATCCCATGTTGGGATTTGAACTGATTAATTATAAAAGATGTTTAGTCTGATTCAGAAATTAATTTAAATTCCCAAACCCTCTGTTTAAATCCCTTTAAAGAAAATGCTGTAAAACGTGTCTAATGCCTTTAGGAAATAAATAAAAGCCTGTAAAATCACTCATTCATTGTGTTGGTAAATTGTATTATATACAGTGGGTACGGTAAGGGGGTCTGAATACTTTCCGTACCCACTGTATATAGATATATAATTTTTTTATTTTTTATATAGGCTATATATCCAGCCCTTGGTGCTAATATTGCACCGAAAGAGGCAAGAATCCTAGCTTTGTTGACTAAAAAGTAACAATTATGCCAATTAAATTAGCCTGTCATCGCCATTACAAAATCGCCATTAATATCTAGGCTAATCATTGTATCATATGGTTGCCTGCTAGTCATATATATTCTTATGTGTGTGTTTCTGTACTTTCCCTACCTGAAGAAGCAGAAGTAAACAGGAGAACACAGACATCTTTCTGAGACAAAGGTGGCCACACATTAATTAATGAGTCAATGGACGATGAACATGGCCACAACTAAACAGCACTAAAAAGAAAAATGAAATTAAAAGCATCAGCTGAATAAATCACACGCATCACGCAGTATACAGCGACCCCGTGTGGTCACCAGAGGAAGGTCCAGCAACATTAATATGGCTGATGATAAGGGAATATCTGTAACAGAAATGTCATGAATTATGGGTACAAAAAAAGTTGAGCGCGGCAATATGATTGTAAATTAATCTGTTTCGTTTGTAATAATGTATATTGCGCTTTTCTAGATATTTAATCATATTTAACTTTCCTAATATTTCATAACTTTAATAAGAAGAAATATTTCATTATGTACAGCATTCTCGGGGTCATGAAAACCAGGAAATGTCAAGGAATTTTAAAATAAATTGTGGTTTACCTAAAAGGGGGGGATGGGGGGTCAAAGGGTTGTTCTAGTCACCCTTACGAAAAATAAGTTTATTCAAGTGTATACTTAGTATACTTCTTTTAAACTAAAAAATAGGAACGTATACTTGTAATCTACTTTTTATGTACTTCTCAAAAATGGGCTTTATGTACTTCTCAGAAATATACTAAAAATGACATATAAAAGTATACTTGACTTATAGCCTAATTAGAAAAAGTCTAAATATATTTGAGCTATACTTGTGCTCCTAGTATCCGTGTTTTCATTGTTATACTGTAGGGGCGCTAGTACACATCTTCTGTGCAGAATTTCTAAAAAAAACACAAGTGAAGAAGAAACCGAAACAACAGATGCTTCCACGTGTATTCTAACACGATCATCAGACATAAAACAGCATCAAAACTGTGTAAAGTTGATGTAATGTCGACCAATGAAGAGGTAATAATGACTGTCAAGCTTTGGGGTGTTGATCGACTCTATCTACGTTTTGAAACTTACCCACATTCAAGTGTTTAACAAAAGAATGCATGAAGCTAGAATAAAATGTTTTTGTTTACAAGCAGATACCCTGTTCTTTCTTTTGGTGTTTTGTATGTTCAGATATGTATATAACAAAATATATACTAATTAATACCTAAATAGGGACATAGTAGTATACTTAAAGTATGA